AATATAAGTTAAACATACCCGCAAATTTACAACGTTCAGACAAAGATGATGATTTCAAATTCTTGTGGAAAAGTTGTTCATCTGCTGTTATGTTAAACTTATATTAAAGTTTTTCTTTATTACCCATTCAAGCCGTCTCCAGCCATTATTAGTCTCAAAGTGGGTTCCTCGTCATCGAATTTGTTAATATGTTATTTATGTCAAAAGTGAAACGTTCACTGTATTTCAATTTGTTTAGGATTTCAATGTTTGTTTTTATAGCAGTGTTGGTGTAAATGGGTGAGAATTGTGTAATCTAGTCCGATTAATATGAGAATTTTTTTAAAGCTCTTGTCCACTTCCATCCGTCTTATCCATCTCTTTCACTCTTCTGATAAAAATTGAAAAGATAGGACAGGAGAACTGTTTGTTTTTTTAATTTCGCGCAAAGTTACACGAAAGCTATCTGCGCTACCCGTCCCTAACTTAGCAGTGAAAGTCTAGAGGAAAGGCAGCCAGTCATCATCACCACCCACCGCCAACTCTTGGGCTACTTTTTTACCAACGAATAGTGGGATTGATCGTCACATTATAACGCCCCCACGAGGAACTCCATATAATGAATGAAATAAGTATACACTAAACTGATACTCTCATACACATAAATACACCGTGGATGTTATTACATCAGTCACTAATTACTAACTTACAAAACACGTTTTGCAATTACTGATAGAAATAATATTTGGCATAGAAGAAGAATCAATACAACTGCCTTTATTGAAGCTGAGTCAGTGTAGTCTCGCTATCGAAATCTTCCTCCATGCGCATGGTTATCTTAATGAAGGGACGATATTGACATTTATTTTAATAATGATAGCAAGGTTCCCCCCTTTCAGTTTGAGCGCTGGTTGTCATCCTGTTTGAGGAAAGGCTTACATTTTCAAATACAGGTTAGAAACTGTTTTAATGATTCGAAACTCTTTTCTAAATGGGGCATCTTAATATTTACTAACGACTTGAAACGCTGTTCTAAAGGGGCATCTTAATATCAGCTAATGATTTCAATCTCTGCTCTACTGGGGCATTTTAATATCAATTAACGATTCGAAACTTTGTTCTAAAAAGGCATCTTAATATCAGCTAATGATTTCAATCTCTGCTCTACTGGGGCATTTTAATATCAATTAATGACTCGAAATTTTTTTCTTAAAGGACATCTTAATGTCAGCTATCCATTCGAAACTTTCCTAAAGAAGTATCTTAGTTTCAACTCACGATTCGTTACTTCCTTCTAAAGGGGTAAATATTAATATCAACTAACTATTCGAAACACTCTGTTCTAAAGGGGTCATCTTAAAATCAACCTACGATTCGAAACTACAGAAGTTATTGCAGTAGATATGAAGCAGATTAAAGATGTTACAAAAGATTTGGTTTCTGCATTATTCAAGATTTGGTAAAATAGGGAACAGAGCAGCAACTAAAGGTTCTAGCTTAGAATCAAACCAATCGTATAAAGATCGGTTGCATTATTTTCAGTAATGTACGAAGTTTTAAAAATTGGTATAAACAAACATATAAAAAATCGTAATTACCTTGTTACAATGCTGAAGTGCTCTAAATCACCTGACCATTACAATGTCTTTTAATTTTCATGGTAGAAAAAAAAAACAACAACCTGGAAAACAATTTGCTTCAATTGATAAGGTCGATCATATCGAAACTGGAAACATTACAATAGAGCAAAGTAAACATCCAGATGTAATTATAAATTAAACTTTGTTAACATAAAGCTAATTATCGAGTGACTTAAGCCTTGTTTAATATCCTTGGTCGAACACAGTTATGCATCGTTACCGAATAGAATCTACTAATGCCACAGCTTGCACCGAGAGTCTCAACATATTCAACAGAAAACCCCACCCCCCTCCTCCTCCCGGTGTCTCAATGGTAAGCTTCGGGACTTATAGTACTAAAATTCGGGGTTAGATACATGCAATCGCAACAGCACAGGTAGCCCATCTTGCGGCTTTGGGTTTAAGAAACAAAATAAACAAATTAAATACCAATAGTACCGTGGTTCTTGACTAGTAGAATTAATTTCGTTTACAGTTTTCTTTTATAATATTTAACAGCTGGAAAACAACTCAAATACTGGAATAATATTCACGTTTTTGTTTGTCTTGAACGTTTGATGGAGTAGGTACAGTACCCTTTTCCAAGACCGACTTCCAGTATAATTAAACCATGCTCTACTGTTTGAAACTGTTTCATACTTTATCTAAAGTTTTCTAAATAAAGAAATAAATAAAATACAAACAACATACGATATGCACATATAGCGTTAGTTCTCTAATATATATATTTTTTCTTTGGCTGCACTGTTTTTAATAGGTTTTTTCTAAGTAGCTTACGAACTGATGATCCATTTTAACAGATCTTTCGTCAATAACGGCTTTCATTCTACGCAGACGAATACACAGACACGTGGTCAATCCAATGGTCAACAGGAGAACAAATACCATACCGGCAAAGATGGCGGCAAAGCCAAGCACTCGCAGACACACAAATCCTTCATTTTCTCGGTCGACTAGTAAAAAAATAAAAATAAAGAATAATAATTAAAAAGGTAAAATAAAATTAATGTAAAAGTCTTAATGTTACTTCTAATAATTTTGAACAAGTGTATAGCTTACAAATGTTTATGAAGTTGTAAAGTATATTAATAAATATATCTCCAACGACATTGCAATGGTTAACCTTTTTTTTTCACTTTAAAGAAAATTATGACATTAACAAAAATAGAAAAAAATACAACTTTCTGAGTAAGTACTTTTTTATTTTGGTCAAAATTTGAGACAGTATGAGTATCGCTATTGGGAAATATAACTGCAATAAATCTATTTGTTCAATTTATTTTACATAGAAAAAAGTGATCATATTGTGTTTGCAATGTAATCGTGCCTGATAATAACTTTGTTACATTCTTGGTATTTGAATACTGCAGACTTTAGTGATCTGTTTTAGGTCGAACACGTTCACTTTAAAGATTCGACAGTGAACAGTGAAAACAATGCAAATATGAACGGAGTGTCGTTGTATTAGTAGTGTTGCAAGTTGTCTTATTAGGATGACTAGGAACCGATATCGTGTCACTTAAGACAGTAAAGAATTGACGAAAAAAGACTAAATCTGAAATGATAAAGAACACTTTGATGAGGTTGTCAGCAATGTTGCAATTACCGATTTAAGATGACTGTAATGGGTTTTAATAGCTTATATGAAAGAATTGATGACTTTGGATGAGTGGTTATAAGCGGTATTTGAAGTCTCCATATGAACGAAATGATGACTACTCTTGATTTGCGACTTTATATACGTGACTGTAAGTGCTTTTAGTAGCCCGTGTGAAAGAAATGAAAATAATGATTTGTGACTTTATATGAGTGACTGTAAAGGGCTTTAGCAGTGTTTATGAAAAAACTAGTAATTAATCAGAATTTGTGACTTTGAAAATATACTGATTCTCAAGAACTAACTTTTGCCTTTCCGGTTGGTAAAAAGATTCACTTTCGGTAACAAGATACAATTGTCTTTAATTCGTCTAATAACATGAACGTTTTATAACTTAAGTTAATATTTATTTACTAACGTGTTGCAGTATCGGTAAATATATTATTATCCAAAGTATTTACACCTCCTTCGTTATTCAACAAATGATAAGGAACATTAACAATGACGTCACCGAAAATCGCAATTAAATAAGTCACCTTCGTTCCTTCGTTTCCTTGGATCCAAGTTACCATCGTTTTCTCGCACCTCCAAGGCTTGAAACAGGTTAATACTCTCAAACATTGGAGAAGTTGTTGGTTGAGCTTGGAAGTCATCAACTGATCGTCTCGTCAAAGTTTTCCAGTAGCACCGCTGGGGCTTAGAAGAACCGAAAAAAACCAAGAATTGTGAGTGGTTCGAATCGTAAGTTACTCTAATACAGCTGGTTACGTCTGAAATGCAGTAATCTCATGTTAACAACTATAATTTGTGGTTCTCATGAACAGAGAAGGGACTAGGTATCTTACATTCCTTTGGAAATCAATAAAATGTACGGCTGATGTGGCCAAACTTCTAGAACTAATAAAAAAATAACTTTCAGAAGTAACAACTTTCGGAAACATTATATAGTAATTGTGGTAGGTATTTCCAATGATATTCTATCTTTTACATTTAAATACACTAATACAATTGGTCAGCAGTCGATTGGTTGATGGGAAATGCTGCTCTTGTTTGTTTGTTTTTGAATTTCGCGCAAAGCTACACGAGGGCTATCTGCGCTAGCCGTCCCTAATT